GAGAGAGTGTGTGTGTGTGTGTGAGAGAGAGAGAGAGAGTGTGTGTGTGTGTGTGTGTGTGTGTGAGAGAGAGAGAGAGAAAGAGAGTGTGTGTGTAAAAAAAAACGAAATAAAACGAAACCCAATTTTATTAAATTATATAATATAATTACTATATTTATTATTTTTATGCTGTACAATAATTCTAAGATCTAGTATTGTATCATGTTTTTCCTCTTAAAATACTAGTTATCTTAAAAGAAAAAAAAGTTTTAACAATAACTTTTTATTAATTATTTCCTGAATATTCGATTCTAAATCTTTTTATTTATTTTTTTTCCCGCTTGGAAATTATCGTGACAAGTAAAACATATTGAAAAAAAAAAAAGATTTAAAACGAGATTTACATTTTAAAAACGTTTTAAAACATTTCCGTCTCAGGGTTTCAGCACGTGTCCATCTGAACGCAGTTTCCTCTGTGTTTGTGAGGCGAGGACTGGACGGATGCTCACCCCATCCACCAGATTAACCAGCAGGAAACACATTGACGGAAATTTTGCCAGAGTCCTTGTGCTCATAAACTCCAGCGTTCAGCGGATGCTCGAGCTGACAGACAGACAGACCAAACACATGCTCCATCAGTCTGAAGACCTGCAGGATGCGCGTTTAGTCTTTAAGTGTTTGCGCAACACATTCACGTGCGTCTTCCTCTGTTCCGCAGGTAAGCCTCTGCTGTGGACGCCGTTCCTCCAGCGGCCGCTGCACAAGAGGAAAGGCGGACAGGTTCGCTTCTCCAACGACCAGACCCTCGAGCTGGAGAAGAAGTTCGAGACGCAGAAGTATCTGTCTCCTCCCGAGAGAAAGAGACTCGCCAAGATGCTGCAGCTCAGCGAGAGACAGGCGAGTGCGCCCTTACACTGTTCTCTCATTTATACAACATTCAAAACTACCAGACATGGTTGCTTTTAGTCTTATTTTCACATCTTCATCATCCGTCTGCAGGTGAAAACGTGGTTCCAGAACCGTCGGGCGAAATGGAGGCGACTGAAACAGGTGAGAATTCTCACTTCTGCTCTTAACACGCTTTTTTTATTATTGTAATAACTATACTAAATCCTATGCGTTATCATAATAATCCTAAATAATAACCAGACCTTTACAGCAAACAAAAACACAACTAAAACAACCCCCCCCCAAAAAAATGCACGGTACAAATAAATATATTTCACTGAAAAAAATGATACTAAATTTTAAGGTAAGCGCGGTTGCAATCCATTTATTTTAGCTACATTTAAATAAAATAATTTAGTTTAGCAAAATGTGTTTATTTAAATGTAGCTAAAATAGATTGATTGCAACCACCTTAAATCTGTTTTTTCAGAGTGCCGCTTTTAAAGTGCCTTTGATCTTAAGAAAAACACTTTTTTATTGTTGTAATATTTTGTTATTTTATTACACTACAAATGATTTTTCGAAGTTAAATTGAGATGATTGTAGCGCGTTTTACAAGAAAACACTATTTCGGTTTTAATTTAATGCGTTACTTGCGTTTCTTTGTAGCTAATTAATAGTGAAATTAAACACGCGATTTCTGAGCGAACGTCGTTTCTACACATATTTGTTTTTTCCAATATACTGTTATTTTTTTTTAAATGATCCTATTCATTCGTTTTTGATCGCTTGCGTAGAGCTTTATCACAGCGCTAAAATGTATACGAAATATAAATACGAAATAAAAAATTAAACAAAACTCTTTTTTTATTTTAATGCGTTAAAATAATTGTACGAGACTGTATCTCGTTTTTCTACTCTTAAACTACTTGTTATTAATATTTTAATAACTATCTAATTTCCTGAATATTAAATTCTAAATCTAAATAATATTTTAGAATATAAATTGCTATTAATATAATATTTATAATGTTTTAGAAAATCTCTATAATATTTGTAATCTCTGTTTTAAAAAAGAAAAAGAAAAATAGAAAACAGAAAATGAAATTTTAAGGCTAAAATAAATAAATAAATGGGTCAAAGACGAAAAAGGGTTTAAACAATAAGTGTAACACTGCTTTAAATTGTTGTTGTTTTCCCTCACAGCGTTCTGTGCATCGGAGAGAGTTCAACAGCCTCGCAGCGGTGAGAGTTTGCTCCAAAACCAACACCATGCGCATCGATTCGGCCTGAATTGAGAAATGCTTCACAAATCGTGATCTTGAGAAAGGAGCATGTGAACCGAAGCTCTGACCGCAGGCCCAAACACATCTTTACCTCTTGAAAATGAAGGTTCTGTGAAGAACCTTTGAAGCTTTTCAATGCACAAAAGCTTCTTTAGAGTGTTTCGATGTTCTTCTAATGGTTCTTTTAAGAACTGAGGTTCTTTGAGGAACCAGAAACTCTTCTTCTATGGCATCGCTGCAAAACACGCTTTAGGGATCTTTATTTTTAAGAGTGCGTGCAAAAACCTCATGAGTGCATGTCTCAACTTTTCAAACCAAAACTTTAGATTCATTCATTTGTATTTGTTCTGTTTTCTGAACGGGTCATTTTGACCTCTTTTATTTTCCTGAAAATGCTAGAAATGTAATCGCATTGGACTAAAAGTTTAAATAAAACAATAATTTTTGTACTTTTTTGAGATTTCCCCCCCCACCTTGTTACACTTGTGGTGTCAAAAATGACCAGCCTACAAAAAAATCGCTTATAAATCTCTCATTATGCTCTATTATCACCAAATCTTGGATTCAATCTTTTTATCAAATTGTTTTCTTTCGATTAGCACAGGTTTTGTGTTTCATTTTGGAACTGATTGATTGCAGGCCTCGTTGATCTGAGCGCATGCACCTTGGTTATTGAGTGAAAAAAGCATTATTTCTAGATCATTTTCACTCCAAAACTGGTTCATAAGCTCAGATCAATGAGACCTATGATCAATCAGCTCCAAAATGAAACACAAAACCTGTGCTGATTGAAAGAAAACAATTTGATAAAAAGATTGAATCCAAGATTGGTTCATAATCGAGCATAATGAAAAATTTATAAGCAATTTCTTATAGGCCGGTCATTTTTGACCAGGAGCAGCAAATTACGTAAAGATTTTCAGAACTTCTAGAAAACGTTTGGAGGCTTTTCTTGTCATTTTAGAAGAAACATCCGAGACAAAAAGTTACATTTCAATGAAACAAAACTGATATCTCTATTAAATCTCTTGAGATATAAAAACTGTTCCTCACATAAACATCCCAGCTCACAAAAATATGTTCTGAGAATATGTTTTCCAAACGTTGCCATTTCAGTTATGAAAACCTTATTTTTTTAATGTTTTAAACATGTTTATTCTTGATTATGTGAACGTTAACGCTGTAAGTAACAAGCCAAGTCTGCCACGTTTGTTCTGACCAACCGAGGAAAAAAGCATTAAATGGTGATTTAATCTAAATTAGCTCATATCACAAATATTGATTTCGGATCATTTTTAACCAAAAAAACAAAAACAAATTTACGGACTGCAGCTTTAAGAGAACATTCCATTTGATGATTTTGCAAGCTTTTTGGCAATGTTACATTTTAATGTTCTCTGAATGTTCTGAAACAAATAGTAACATTTAAATTAGTTTAAATCCAACGAACGTCCAAATAAAATGTTTCAGAAATAAACGCTGCATGAACAATGTATAAATACCGTATTTGTGCTAACGGTTTGAGAGCATTATTAAAAACCAGATGACTTTAAATGAAAGAACGTTTGCTCATAGCGTTGAGAGAACCTGTTAGCTGGGTTAATACCAATATATGTGACCCTGGAGCACAAAACCAGTCTTAAGTGTCAATTTTTCAAAATTGAGATGTATGCATCATCTGAAAGCTGAATAAATAAGCTCTCCATTGATGTATGGTTTGTTAGGAGAGGACAATATTTGAAAATCTGGAATCTGAGGGTGCAAAAAAATCTAAATATTGAGAAAATCATCTTTAAAGTTGTTCAAATGAAGTTCTTAGCAATGCATATTACTAATCAAACATTAAGTTTTGATATATTTACGGTAGGACATTTACAGAATATCTTCATGGAACATGATCTTTACTTAATATCCTAATGATTTTTGGCATAAAAGAAAAATTAATAATTTTGACCCATACAATGTATTGTTGGCTATTAAATATACCCCAGCGACTTAAGACATATAAGTTCTGTTGACCAAAAAGCATCCTATCCTCACAAAACCCCCCTGACGGAGTATTTATGATCATTATTTTACAGCTCAGACAGTGAAGCAGAAAGTCTAGCGGCTGACGGCGATATAAAAGCTCCATCTCTAGCTGAATTAGGCCTAATTGAAGAGCAAACAGCACACTTGAGTGAACAATGAGGCCTGAGTGATATGTTCCTGGGCTGCCGGAGGAATCTCGTCCTCACCTGAAGGCCGCGAGCGCTGCTTGTTACGAACAGAGAGGGTCTCTTTGACGACAAATGCTCAAATATTGACCCATCAGCCTGAGATACGTCCAGTGGCTCTGATAGTTTAATTGACAACAACTCTTGCTTCATCAGATCAATTAGCGCGGCTCTTTCAGGCCTGTTAGCTCTCGTTACAGCGCTGCCGTGTGTGTGTTTAAAACTCCAATCAGTCTTTTCCATGATGGCAGAGATTCTGGCTTCTTAATGGCTTGTTTGTTCCTCTTTGCTCGGGCAAACCTGCAGATTGCTTTTATGTGCGGCCGTGAACGAGCTTGTGAGACACGGCCTGATTTATTCATCCTGTGACTTAATGATACGTGATAACAAGGCTTCCATTAAAGATTCTAGATGCAGTGATCAGACCTTTCCAAAGCAATTAGGCTCTCTCGCTCAGCGTTTACAGACAGAACAGTGAGTGAGAGTTTACTAGAGGAAACATTCTGCTGTTCTGCTTTTAATCAACTCTAATATCAACTCTGATGAAGATCATCTCACTGCAGGACTGGACAATGAAGCACAAGCATAATCATGTGTTAGTAGCTACAAAAAGTAGATAAGTCAGCCGGAACATGCATTTTCACTGATTAGACTCTCACTAACTCTCTTCTCTCAAGGTTACAAACAAACATTCTTCCAGTTATACTTTCATAGAACATTGGTTCAAAGTTATCTGGTCTTTAATAATGCTGTCAAAACACACATACATAATATATATAATAATATACAAAAAAGGGCCGAAATAAATTTGCTAAAATATTTTTTCAAATATATTTACATTAATATATTTTCTACCAATGCATTTTTGGGGGCATTTTTTAAAAAATAATTTTGAAATAAAGTTACAATAAAATAAAATAAAAATACATTAATAAAATACATTCACATTTCAAGAAAAACTTTATTTGGTGTCTATAAAACATGTGAACATGCAGTAAAACACATTAAACATTAGTGAAACATTATTAATTTAGTTTTGATCTATCTAGGCCTGCCACATATGCATTCAGTCTAAATGTAAGCTACTGTTAGATTGGAAAAGTATTTTTTTGCCCTGAAATACATTTTGCAATATATTTTGGTATATGACAGTTTAAATTTCAGAAATATATTTATTTTAAAATATATTTTGGGCAGAAATATTAGTTTTTTTTGCCATATGTGGAAGTTCATCTGACATTTTTAAATGTTACTTGTTCCAGAACATTCAACAGGTGTGTGTGTGTGTGTGTGTGTATGTGTGTGTTTGTGTGTGTGTGTGTGTGTGTGTGTGTGTGTGTGTGTGTGTGTGTGTATGTGTGTGAGTGTGTGTGTGTTTGAGAGTGTGTGTGTGCGTGAGTGGGTGTGTGTGTGTGTGTGTGTGTGTGTGTGTGTGTATGTGTGTGTTTGAGAGTGTGTGTGTGCGTGAGTGGGTGTGTGTGTGTGTGTGTGTGTGTGTGTGTGTGTATGTGTGTATGTGAGTGTGTGTGTGTGTGTGTGTGCGTGTGTGTGTGTGTCTGTGAGTATGAGTGTGTGTGAGAGTATGTGAGAGAGTGTGTGTGTGTGTGTGTGCATTTGTGTTAAATCACATCACACTCTCCGACCACTTTGCTTTCTTTCATCCTCTTTCTTTCCTTTCTGTGCTTCAGTAATATATTCTTTTCTCCCGTGGTTTGAGTTGTTGGTGTTTACAGTGTCAGTGTGTGAAGCGTCCTGCAGTCGTCTGCTCAGTGCAAACACAGACTGCTCATTAATT